CCCGCCACACACCCCACTGCCCCGCACACCACAGTCCCACGCGTACACGCACAGCCCCACACACCATACCGCCACACACACCACTGCTCCGCACACCACAGTTCCACACGTACACACACAGCCCCACACACCATACCGCCACACACACCACTGCTCCGCACACACCCAGCTCCACGCTCCACAGTTCCACACATACACACACAGCCCCACACACCATACTGCCACACGCACCACTGCTCCACACACACCCAGCTCCACACACCACAGCCACACATACACACACGGCCCCACACACTGTACTGCCACACACACCACTGCTCCACACACACCACTGCTCCACACACACCCAGCTCGACACACACAGCCCCACACACCATAGCTCCACACACGACAGTTCCACACACACCACTGCTCCACACACCACAGCCACATGTACACACACAGCCCCACACACCATAGCTACACACACACACCACAGCTTCCCATCATGCCCTCCACCCTCCATGCACACACAGCTCCACACACCACAGCCCCATACACCACAGCTCCGCTCACACAGGGCTGCACCCACACTGACCCCCACACACCACAGCTCCACACCATAGCGCCACACACACCACTGCTCCGCACACACACCACGGCTCTGTTCACACAGCCCACACACACACACACACTGCCCCACACACCACAGCTCCACACCATAGCCCCACACACACCACATATCTCCACACACCACAGCCCCCCCCCCCCCCCCCCCCCCCATAACCCCCCCACCCAGCTCCCCAAACACAGCCCCACACACCACAGCCCCCCCAGTCCCCACCCAACCACACCACAGCATCACACACACGAAAGCCTCCCCCACAAAACACAATGGCACAACCACACCACAGCCCTCCCTGCACCGGCCCCATCCCACAGACACCACACAGCCCCTTCCCCAACCACAGCACAACCTCCCCAGGCACAGGCACACACGCAGGTCCTCACACACACCAGGCACACGCAGTGCCATGTTCCCGCTGGCTCAGAGGAGCCAGCCCTGCTCCGTACGGCCCAGCCCCATGACTCCTGAGCCATTCGGCTGCTAGGGGTGCTGCAGTCCCCATGGCTGCCCCAGGCCCACTGTCAACACAGGGCTTCAGGCCAGGAGCCCTCCCCGCGTCCTGCCCAGCTCCTCCGGGCACACCTCTCTCCCGCTTCACCATCAGATCTTCAGCAGCAGGTGCCACCATGGAAGCTTGGGGCTGCGTTCACGTATTCCCTGAGACAGGGCTGTCCCTTCTGGTGTCACCTCGCCCATGGTAACTGTAGGGCCCCTCCTGCATTACAGCTGGGATTTTCAACCTTACTCAATGAAGACTGAGCCGCTTCTGATTTCTCTGAGCCTCAGGTGATGTTCCCTTGTTTAGATCTTTCTCAAATCCTAGGACCCCAGGGCTTGTTATTGTCATCCTCCATCCCTAAAAGCAACTCCATCTATCTCACTCCTAACTAACATTGTCTAAGGCCTTTGGATGCCCTTCCTGAGGTACAAAGAGGGCAATGGGAATCCAGTGCCTTGCAAATGGATCAAATCTGCAGGCTGAGAAGGCAGTCTCCGAAACCGAAGCCCTCTGAAAGGTGCACCTCAGGCTGAACAGACAAAACAGGTCACAAAGCCCTTTGTGAAACTCTTGGATGCAAGGAGGGGGCGGAATTCATTTCATTAATTCAGCAAACAAGATTTCACCCAGGGCAAATTCTGCAGCACATCACCTGAGCATTACCAGAATCACTACAGCCCCCCATGGAGCAGGAAGGTCTCGCCTGCCGAAGGAAGCTTGTACATAACAACAACAGGAGGAAGGAGGGGAAAGGAGAAAAGAGGAAATATCTGGTTTCGATCAACTTCTTAAAAATAGAAGTCTGATTACCGTTGCCCATTTCTGATTCCCCAAGGAAGAGCAGGAGAAGAAGAAGAATCTATAAATAGTTTGCAACACAGAGAATCCTATAGCAAAGTTGCTGGGAAAGATCAATAGCATGATTCAAGGAGGGCTCCAAATTACATCTCGGGGGAGGGAGGTGCTGAACGGAATTGATAAATGAGTTGCAGATGCTATGTGTGTTGTGTGTATCTAATTAACAGAGGGTGACTGGGATCAATAGCAACGAAGGAGCTGGTCTAAAAATAGCACTCAGGCAGGGATTGCAACCTGCGGGCAACAGCTTGGATGGAAACGTCCCCTGGAGTAATTAACCTTTAGCTGAAAAGTGGTGGTTAGCGTGGGGTCGAAGCAGAGCCTGTGGGCAGCTGGGAAGGGACGAGGTCTCCGTGGGACTTCAGGGCACAGAGCAGCGTGACAGTCACGGAGGGTACAGGCACGATCATGAGCACGCAGCCTTCCCCTGATCAGGCTGCAGTGTCAAGCTGCAGATTGATGTAGTGCTTTCTGGAGAAATATCTGAGTATTAGCATTTTGCTGGGGTTGTGGAAGAGGAAATATTTGTAGTTCTGTGTACCTGCAAAGGTTTCGACATTGCTTAGAGAAAAGTCACAGTCACTTTTTAAACATCTATTTACATCTACAAATATTTGGGATTTTCTTCTGTTTTGCTGACCTTGTTGCCGAGAAAGTATCCACCTCTCTGAGGACCAGTCTTTGCTCATCCAGACTCACCAGCAGAAGTCCGTATTTGAACCACAGAGCAAATAGCGTCCAAAGAGAAGTGTCCTTCAGTCGTTCCATCTAC